ATGACAGTGACAGTCTCCTATGTTGTCAAGTAGATAATGAGCTTTTGCATTTATGATGATTTATTAGAGCAGTTCTGATTGCCTGGTGAAACAAAGCTAGGTCATCAGAGGGGTTTTCTGGCTCGAAGGTGCCCAAGCAAATAGTAATGGGATGTAGGTGTGTTTACAAAAGCTTCGATACTGGTGCTGTCATAAAGGAAAACTTATTTCTGCGTTTCAAATCCAGTCACCTGTAGTTGGCTAGAAAGGCCCATCCAGGGGAACTCTTCAGATTTGTTTGTTAGAAAAATCAAGCACAGACTTCCAGTCAACAGAATTTCTGATGTTCTTGTTAAATGAAGACAGAAATAGTTAAAATGCATTGCTGCTATCGCTTGCAGCTCTTCGTGGTGCATGAGCTCTCTGTTCATATAACATGAAAATCCTACATTGGAAGTTTACTTGTGGCTGTCTCTCTGCTGTAAGATAAATATCATGCTTACTGAAAAAAATCTGAACTCATTTCCTTCCAAGTTCCTTTCTAATAAGAAAAATATTCTCCTTCATGACCCAAAACATTTTCTGTGGTAATTGTTTACCAGTGAGTCTAACTTGCAGGTTCTCTATTAATTCTTACCTGGAATTTTAATTCAGTCGTAACTGTAAAAGAAGTCTGAGATCTCTTCGGTTTTGGAGCCAGTAGTCAAGCTCTTACTTTCCAAGAGCTGCCTCTGAAAAGCCAGTAAAGACTTGAACTGCTTCAGAGGCAGGAGTATGGATAAGGGTATGGGTAGCATATGTGTATTCTATGCATTTTGTGTAAAACAAACTCAGACTTGTCATTTGAGGTAATTTACTTCAGTCTGCTGTCAATGTTTTAGTTCCAAGCGGCATGGTTTGAGATCAAGCTGAACAGAATAGCAGGAAAACTGTTCTCCTTAACCATCTGCTTTGTTGCAAATGAAAACATGCTCTTACGCCTGTGTAGGAAGACAAGTGTGACAAAGGCTGAGTCACACATGAACTTAATGTCACCAGCCCCAAAGATGGAAGCATGCCCTAGTTACCTTCTGCAGCCCATCAAATGTGACTTCGTATCAGTTTTTAGATAAAGTGCTGTTCTTTCTGGGGGATGGAGGGGGGTGCACTCATGAACGTAGTTGTTAACTGTGTCTTGGTTAATGAGACACTGGTAACGTGTCTCCAGGGTACAACTGGACAGAGAAAGTCTGGATGATGCAATCTCTCTCATCTGTATTGCTGCTTTTTGACTTGGGATTCCTCAGCTGGCTGCAGGGTTATGTTTAAACCTTTCCATTTTATTTTGCAGGATGGGGGAGGAGAAAAACTTGTCTTCCACACCTCTTGTTCAGATGATATAATACCACTGGTGTTAATATTCCTTAGTTGACTCACAACACCAAAACTTTGTTAATACAGATTTTGATTTCACTGTTTGCTTCCCACAGGAGGCAAGTTGGGTCAATGAGAGTGAAGCAGCAGATCAGCTCCTAGGTGCACTCTATTCCATCTCATTCCCTGTATCTGGTCCTGTAGTCTCTGATTCACAAGATCTTCAGAGCCTTACGCTTCAGGCAGCATCTGTAAAACCATTCTGCTGAGCAGACCAGACAGTGCTATTATTTTTTTTTAATTGCTGTTAAGCCCTTCTGGCTTGGCAGTGGTTCTGATACTCAGGTGTGTTGAGACCTTTATCTTCTCAATGTAGAGCTGGGAACTGTCTTCTAATCTGTGCAGTGCGCTGGGCTGTAGTGAGGTTTCAGTCATGTAGGAGCATAATGAGATTGGATTGTGGATTGTCACTGGAGAAACTGTATGTTTTCTCAGTGAGGTAAAATCCTTTATTTCAGTAGCATCACTGATTTATCAAATTATTGCTGTCTCGCAGAATAATCCTATTTTTGAAGAGTATAGCAGCACAATAAGTGCATCCTACTCCACAACCACTTATTTCCTTCAGTAACAGGAAGGAACATATGCTTAGTATGATCCAGCAGCTTAGTTTATTTGGAAACATGTTTAACTCTGCTGAAGAGATTCAGTAGGCCTAGGGGAAAGTACAAGACAACCATTTTCCAGTAGAATTGGTGAATAGTACAAATACCACTTCAGAATTTTTTTTTCTCAGTAGACCAAAATCCTTTTGTGAATGTAGCCGTGTTTACCAGTGCACAGAGGAAACAGTCCACAAAACCCCTTATTGTACTTGGGAATACTCAGTGGTTTAGTCTGACTTTAAAAAAAAAAAAATAACCAAGATTTTTTTACACAATTCCTTCTGAAGTTTAACTTGTTGAATTTAACCATTATGTGTGAAGTAAGCCGCTAGGGCTCTGTGTTCTGGATGGACAACACTAAGCCAGTGTTGAATGCAGTTGAGAACCTGATGTCACAGTCTAAACCATCCAGGACTTTATTGCTAAGCAGCATTGCTAACCCTCTTCTAAAGGAACCACTGGTACAATGCAGGCAAGCTGTTCAAACCCACCCAAATAAAAACAGAACTGAAGTATTTGCTCATTAAAAACAAGACAAATTCACACAAAGAAAACCTTTCAGCTGAGGCAAGACAGAACTACTGGAAATGGAGTTCACTCTCATTTATACTGCTGTAGCTCAAGTCCCTTGGGGGCACTGCCTACTGGTGCAAACTGTATATGAATATTGCGTATTTATGTTTGCTGTGTTTTCTTCCTTTTAATTAAAGGAGGGGGCTCTGTAGCCTAGTCATGAGTGCTCCATCTCAAAAATGTCTAACTCCATTTCCTGATAATTAATTTTTTTAATGCAAACCTACATTCTACCAATTTAATTTTTCTTCCCAAAGGACTCCGGATTCTGTGCAGCACACAGGGACCACCCTGGTCATCAGCACAGCCTGGTTTAAACACTAATGTGCATATGTCACCTCTTGCCTTACAAAAACTGTGTGTGAAGTCCTTCTTCAGGACCCTTTACTTACCAGCATTCATGGTACTTGGTTGTAACAGTCGATCCTCCTAAGGCTTTAAGTTTGGTGCTTCACTACATGTTTTTTCCTAACTTCCATTTGCCTTTGTTAATGGCACTGAACATCTGCCTCTTGTCTTAAGATAATGATAACTGCTGATGCCTGAATTGGGTGCCAGCAAATTCAAGAGGAATTTTACAGAAGCCAGTGGGTATTTCTCCCCCTCCAGTGTGTATTCTCCTTTAAAAGCAGTTTTCCCCATCTCTGTTAATGTACGCAGGTGCTATACAGAGTCCAGCCCATACTAGATACCATAGGTATTAACAGCTATGGAGCTTAATGCGGTGTATTGACAAGAATGCAATAACTATATATGACTCTTCAGCCTTTGGATGTGTTTTGTCCTCTTCCCTGCATCTTTGGGCAAAGTAAGTAAAGAGCTTCATGACTTAGTGGAAACCCTTTCTGTTTTTTTTCCTCCTTGATCCTTAAACCTTAAGGAACTTAGTGATGTAGTTTCTTTGTTTCAGGTGAGTCTGCAGTACAGAAATAAAGGATTCTAGAAATGCAAATATTCTTCATCAAATCAGTCCGATGCTAGGGATTAGGTTTTATTTGCACAAGAATAGTCTGAGTTACTTTAGATGCTGTCTGTATCCTTGAACTTTAATAAGATAGTTTCTCTGTCTAAAAAATATTACTGTTTATCTTTTTTGGGTAAATGGTGTAAATTTTCTTTCCTTTCCTATAACTGTGGTTGCTTTGTATATAGGTGCACACTTCACTCAGCTGCTTTCACAAAACTGAAGTTCCTCTTGAAAAACTTTATTTTAGGAACTTTTTGCTATCTTTTTGTTACTTCCAAGCCTGAGATTTTCATAGTAGATCCATGTACATTTATTTTACTATTTACACCTCTCACAGTACATTTATATGGAATACCATCACACAGATAAACCAGCTACTGACAGCTATTATAAAGATATTAGATTCCACGAGGCTTAATCTGCATAGAGACCAGAAACACATCTAATGGCAAAACAACAGATAAGTCCTTCTGTATTTTCCTTAATTTAAAACCCATTTTGTGTAGAATGTGATCTTCCTATCACAAATATCTACTTCTGTATTGGTACATTTGTCTTGTGGTTAGTTTGTCTTGGGTGGCTACTGTCTGCATATGCTTGATAGTTTATATTTCTTATGGTCATGAAAAATGCAATTAACAGTTGTTTTAAGCATTGTTTAAATATTAATTAAATTTCGTTTGTTTTCTACTCTTCTCCCAGCAACCTACCAGTGCTGCATAATCTCATGGTGCATGTAACTTCTAGTAGTGGACAAAACTCTGGGTGAATATTTCTCTTGACTCCAATTGAGTTAGAGGCCTAAAAGAGAAATTACACAGCTTTGGACCACATCATCCATTTGCAGATTACTGTAGCTGTGCTTGCTAAAGCTTTCTAAGAGATTTATTTTCCCTGGTGCAAGCAATATTCATTTGACTTAAGTAATTCAGAAATCATATGGGATATAAAAAAAAAATAATTCTCTACTTGCAGCATCCTTGTCACTGATCCTCATTCTTCAGGAAGAATTAGAAGTGAAACTCCACAGCAAAGTAGTTGAACATAACACTAGCTTGATAAGTATTTTGTATGCAACATCAGGTGTCCTAAAGTTGCTTCATCTATCACCTGCACTATATACAGCATTGCTACTTGTAGCTTTTGTTTTGAAAAGTAGCCAAAATGGGGTATGTCAGCAATATTTGAGTGCTGTTTGTCAAGAGGGAAAAGTGTACAATAAATTCTTACAAAGTGATGTCCTATTAAATTGCTGGTTTACACCTTACTGGATGAAATACACCCTCTTTTCATACACGTTTATCACTGGGGTGGTGTTTTTGACTCTACTACAGATCTTTTTTGGTCACTGGACAGCCACTATATAGATTTCTTTTGGTTTTAGGCATGCGTGTTGAGTGATCCATGCAACAGTGAAGAACCTGCCATTGTACATTCCATATATTATTGTTGTACCAGTTGTTCTTGATTCTGTTAGCAGGATGCTGTTAGTTCCCCTCACCCTACAGTTTCATTCAATGAAAACATTTGAAAAGACAAACGTGGTAGAGCTACATGATGTTGCATTGTGTGGCACCACAACAATCTTTAATAATAGCCAATCCTGCTTTAGCAATGGTGGGCTTGCTTGGAGGAGGTTCTGCCTTCTTTTCTGCTGGGCTGCCTGCAAAGTTCAAAACAAGACACCATTAAAACCAAGAGCTGCTCAAACTCTTTCTTCCTGCTTCTGCCTTAAAGGATGCAACCCTTTCCTGGCCCCCCACCCTGAATTTTTTAACTCTTGTTTGAACAATATATCTAACTCTTTGCTACCAAAAAGCTGGTATGTGGATCAAAACTGCTCAGGAAGTCTTATCTCTTCAGGGGAGGGAGTCAAGTGGGGCTAAAGAATCCAGACATGTCCATGGGAGGGTAAACTTCTTGCATCTTCTTCAATCTAGGTGTCCCTGTTCCCAGCCATAGGGTCAGATAACAGGTCCTCCCACAGAAAGTCATCCTACTGTGTTTAAACCCCAACAACTACGGAGCTGAAGAACAAAAATATTGCTAGAGTTTATTCTCTCACCAACTTGTATGTTGTAATTAGGAGAAGAAGATAAAGATAGGTTTTAATTTTTCAGGATGAAAAGAATCTTTTGACCTATAACATTGCATTTAAATGCAATGACATGAAGTAAACTAACAAGGGAGATGAATCATGTTCCCTGTGTCAGGAACGGTATAAATAATTAGTAATGCATCTGAAAATGTCTCTATCAACCTTGTACTTGAACTTTACAATCACTACACATCCCTCTGGAAACTCTTTAGCAAGATCTTGATCTGTGCAAAATGATAGCATGTTTGGATACAAACTTCTTCAGCTGGGGCACCAAGTTTACTTTCTAAGAAAGGCACCACTCTCACCTGATTATCTCCCTGCCTCAGAGCTCAGTTTGAGACAGGTGAAGATCAATCTGTTAACTTTTAGAGCTCATGCTATGACTGTTTTGTTTGAAAGTTGCAGCTAAAAGCTTCCAAGAGATCATATAATCTGCTTGGTTTCTAAGAAAATAGTGCATTTGCAATTCTGTCCATAAGTGATTTGGGTTTAAGTGATCAAAAAGCCTATTTATGCTGGTAAAATGTATTAAGAAATTTGTGGCAGCTGTGGAAGCTTGCAGTCTTCTCTAGTTTCCATCTTGCCTGCAGTAAAACAGGCAAACTTTGCTTCAGATATCCTAGCATATATTTTAAGAGGACTTTTTCCACTTATTTTTGCAGAACCAGATGGGAGAATGGCAAAAATAAATCTAGTTGCTTACAAAAATAGGTTGTGGTAATATGTATTCAAATATACTTTGTGTATTTAAAACATAGGAATTTTTAAATGGCCATAGATGACTTGGATTCAGTTTTAAGAGGTAATTGGGCATCTGAATTCTACGTGGCCAGCAATTGCTGAAACAGTATCTTGTTTCAGGGTGATCTAGTTAGATTAATCTAGCTTTTGGCAGAGGCTGGCCCAGCATGGACTTTGAAAATGCTTTTTTATCCAGTTGTCTTTTGAGTTTTTGCTATTGTTCTTGTTTTTCTTAATGTTTAAAAACTTACTTGTAGGAGATTGTGTTGCTTTGTCTAAGGGTTTTAACTTGGTGCGAAGGAATTCAGCCATCTCTTTGTCTTCTTCTTTCTCTCTGGTGCAAAAAAGGAAAATCCATTACAAAAATAACAATGTTTTCTCTTTAAATGGGACAGTAACAGCTAGAGTAACAAAGACCAAATCACTAGTAAACCATTTACTACTTTGTTGTTTTTAAAAACACTTTTTTGCTGCTTATTAAAGGGCAAAATATTTGCCTAAATGAAAACGGTAACAAATGTGTAGAATTCAGAGACAGAGTTTCCCCCAAGGTTCTTGTCTCTGATAGTGTTGGATTCATTATGGTCCCTAGTCAGCGGATTTAAACCATAATGCATGACCTGTTTTAACTTGGCCTCACAAGTGCTTCACAATGCTTCCTCTACAAAGTAAAGCAGAGGATACATATTGCTGTGATTGTACTACTTCTTTTTAAAGGCCTGCTCAGACAATAGACTAGATCTCATGGTCTTCTGCTGTTAGTATTTACCAAAACCAAGTATATTTCTCTTTGCCTGAAGATTACGGTATTAGTCCCAAAATAAAAAGATTGTCTTGCTAACGTTGCTGTATCTATTAACAATATTTCCATGTTAGTTTCTGTACTGTTTTGTTACTTAAACATTGAGTGCACTGAGTATCTTGGTTTAGAGGGAAAGCAGATTTTTTTTCATCAAGAGTTTTAAAGCAAAGCCTCAGGTTTTACTGCAAATGTGAATTCACATCTGCGTAGTTTATAGCAGTACATTTTCAGCAGCCTACAACTAGGCTTCTGCATTATCTGCTTGCTGATGAGGTTTTTGTGATTTGCAGATTGAAGTAGCATTTGAAAGCTCTGGATTACGTTACTAGCTCAGGCTTGTTGTCAGCTGCTGACTCTGGCCAGCTCTCTTTGATCAGCTGCAGGACTCTGGCAAGCTTTCTTCTCTCCTCTCCTTTGCTCGTATAGAATTGAAATGTGTTGGAATAGATACTGTCACTTAGGATAAGTGGATTGATGAGCCTTGAATCTTTACTGTTGAAAGAGTCAGGAAATAATAGGAAAACTGGCTATTTGTAGAGTGTTGGGATCTCAGTGGAGAGATTGAAATAAACTTCAGAGGAAGACCACAGGTTTCTCAGCAACTCTGGGCTAAAATACTGAGATGAAACCACTCTGAACTCACTTATGCTTTAGGTTATGCAGGCTCATGTTAGTGACTACATTTTTTTTTTTTTTTTTTTTTTTTTTTTTGCTATGGCAGGGTGAGAATAACAATAATAAAACCTGACCACATTAATAATTTTTTTAAAAAGGCAGATTTTAGATGCCTACAAATATGCCCCTTGTAGAATTCTATTTTATGTCTACTTCTCATGCCAAGGGATCCTCTGGTAGCACCAAAAATCCATCTCTTTGTAATGGTAAGTGTGCCCAGACACTTTCTGATAGGAAAGTAAGAGACCAAACCCTACTGTAGTCATGAGATGACTGAATCATTAATGGCATAAAGGGCCCCAGAAGTGCAGTAACCTAGCTTCAATGTTTTTCCTATGGAACTGGGAGGAGGCTTGTAACTTGGTAAGTTGTTCTAAAGGACCAGTTCTCTCCCATTAATGTTGATGTAAATTTTGTGACTCACTGCAGTAAAATTAGACTTTATTAGACTAATTATTAGACTTTTGAAATCTCACAGGTAAGTTCAGGTGCTTTTACTTCTTACCGTAATCTCTCCACCTCTGCATCATCCACGAGAAAATCTCTTTTTTGTACCAGTCTATGGATCTTCTGAATCAGTTCATCCTCTCTTTGTTTCTCCATCTTTGTTTTTTCTTTTTCTGGTCAAAAACAGAAGAGAGAGACTATTACTTTGAATTCTAGGGAGCAGAGTAGGAGGTAGAGGGATGGACATTGCACATGTCTAAGAAAGAATTGCTGATTGAAGTGAGTTGTTCTTCCGACTTGAGTTACCGAAACCCCAGTAAATTCTGGTCACTACCTCTTTTCTCTTTTCCACTTACTGCTGTTGTGTCTGATCAGCTTAATGGTCTGGAGACACTGTGGGGCTTGCCAAGTCTACTTTTAATATTAAATTACTCTGCAAGACACTTGCTTTGAATTTTTTAAAGAGCTTTGGTAAGAAAAAAGTCCAGGATACTTCATTAAAATCCATGGTACAAATTCCCTTTGGTCTCAAGGGAAACAAGACCACACCAAAAGGAACCATTTCTCTGTATTTCACGACGGCTTTGGCTGTTTACTACAACACTTTTTTTCTACTCCGTTAAGGCCGGTGAGCTTCAAATCCACACAAAGAGCATTGGTTGTAAAATTTGGAAAAATACATGAAAGTGTTTATTTTCCCTGTGCTTTCAAAAATCTGAGTAATGAGTGTATGTCCTTGTTAACTGGCCAGTCTAATGACTAGGTTGTCTATAAACAATTATTTTTGTGACATGAAAGATGTGCCTGTCATAAGCTAAAACTCATGAAAGTTAGGGATTACAGAGCTGTAGTTTAAGGTTGTAAAGCAAATGTAGTTAAGACAGAAATCTTCAAACGTAGCAAGTGGCGCAGAGATGAGAAAGCCAGAGGCAAATCCCAGCCCACGAATTTCCTCAGGCTGAAAATATTGATTAGCTGAGAAGACACTTTGCATTAAATCAAGAATTTTGGTTTTAAGCAGTAGAATGGCATTTAGACAACCATAAAAATAAGTACAATAAAAGTTGTGGGAAGAAGGGTAAGCTGCATGCAGTCTGTATCTGAGCTATGTTATATCTGCTGATTGAACTTATATTTAAAATAGCTAAATAAATCAGACATTTGAAAATAATTGTTAAATACAGCTTTTGGACCACAGGCTTCAGGATACTTACTACTGGGAATTTCTGCAACAAATCCATTCCTTAGTAAGTGAGATAAAAGCACCTTGAATGTATTTTCAAGACAATGAAATTCTGTAAGACTCAATCTCAGAAAGTCATACTCCTTGGAGAATTTTAAATTATGGTCTGCCAGTCGCAGAGAAAATAATTTGTAATATAACATAAGGCTACTACATCTGCAATGTATTTTCTGTTTTATCTTTTAGAAATTATAAAAAAAAAGGTGGTTATTGACTGCTGTGAAGACTTCAAGACCTCTGCATTGTTACCTATGGAGAATTCCAGTGATTAAAGCTAAATTTGCAGCAGAGAAAAGAGGAGAATGCTTAGAAATCCCTGCTTATTCTTGCTTTGCCTCTTATGTCTCTGGAGTAGGGGATCACCTCCTCTCACTACTAAAGCTAGAAGCTACTTTCTACTTCCTTTCAATCTATCCTCTTCCCAGATAGAGATGTGCTCTTCTGTGATAGCCTTTAGGAAACCGCCTGCCAAATATATGCATCCTGAATTGTGGCAAAGTACTGCATACTCTGTTTACTAAAAGACTGTTCCCATGTTTACTGAAGTTGGCTAAACTGTGTCTACTGAAACCAAAGAGCAGGTCTCTATAAAAATCTGTATACTAACAGGAAAACTATGATAAAGATGTTATGAATTAACCCATTTCTATAAAGTGTTTTTCTAGGTTAGGCACATGCTGCGTCAGCACTTAGTTCTGTGTGAATGCCAGCAGCTGCTTTGTCTTTAAGACAAAAGTATTCTTGTGAGTCTGCCAAAAGGTGGTGCTGGAACTGCGCATACTTAATTCTTCTGAGGTTTGAAAAGTGCTAAGGAGAAACTGCTGTCTGTGGATCTCTGCTTAAGACTTTATGACTGGAAAATAGTTTCTAAAAGGTTTTTTTTTTAAAAAATAAAGCCCACCAAAAAATGAAAACTGATCAACCCTAACTGTAAGTTAAAAATATGGGTAGAAAAGCTGCAGACTAGAAGAGGCAAGGCTAGGGGAATAATTTGTAGACATTTTCTAGGATTCATAATCCTTTCCAATACCATTTAAACCAATCATGTACCAATAGTGTTGTTAGAAATTAAAAATGTGACCTATAACTAATTAAGAAGTATAAAGAAAGAAAAAGTAAGAAAGATTATTAATCCACTTTTGTTGGGTGCAAGGTAAAGTAGAAAAATTCTTATACAACTAAGAAGGTGTGGCTTTCTCTCTCCTTTCTGGGGAAAACATTGTCCTCTAAAGTTACACAATAAAATGTCTGAGGGGAAAAAATTAGGATAACTAAATGAGAACCAAAATTTGTCCTTAATAGTTAGGCAGCAGCAAATTATTTCTGAAGGCTGCCAGAGGCCATGCAGTAATATTTTGTATAAATGGCCCACTGCAGTTGTTGAGTGTTTTGCAGGATCCGTCTACTTTTTTCTTGAACACAGTAGGGCTGTTATAGATGATCTAGAACAGCAAAGCTGTAGTGAAGCAAAATTCCTCATTGATTTCAGCTGGAGTTTTGAGTTAAGGACTGCAAAACTGCCCACAACTCTGTCCCTCCTTAGAGCAGTGAATTAAGGCAAAACACAAAGCAGAATTTTACCCCTTGCTTTTTGTAGAAACCTGTTTTTACTTTATTCTAGAAGGTAGTTTTAACTACACGTGTGACAATGAATTGATATATCTAGGAAAAAAAGTCAATCATGTTCACAGCGGTTATAAATGCCTCTCCTTTCTCCCCTTTATCTCAGGTATCTCAGCACTCTGTCTTTTCTACCTGACAATCTCCGTGCCACTTGGTTCCCTTGAGATTGCCAAGGCAGTGCAAGAACTAAGGAATGTGCACCTGGTTGGAGTGATATTTGCAGGGCTGCTGCCAAGGGAGCAGTGATATACAGCATGAAAAGAAATTTAGAGACCAGGAGATTAAAGATGGGAAGGCAAACGGGAAGAAAAAATAAGGACTAAAGGAAAGAGAGAGGAAACTCAACCTTCCGGGGAGATTCCCAATTGGTAGGGGCAGAGGTGTGTTTCTGACACCATCCCCACCTCTGCCTCACCCAAGCTTTATCCTAATATTGGGCTGGAGACAGTCATTACCTGGGATTGCTACCAAACTCTGGAGCTCTTTCTTAAGGTTCATAATGTCTTTGCACAGCTGGATGTCATCCATCCTGCAGAAAGAGAAAAAGCGTGGTCAGAGACATGCAAACTCCATCCTGTGTTGATGGGATTGTCTGATCTCACCTGAATATACAATCAGCTTGAGATGCAGAGGTTTAGCCTTGGGATACTGATACTGTTCATTCACCATTTTTAACAGATAGCAAAAGGTATTTAATACTAAATGCCTGTTTAGCCTTTGATTACTTGTCTTATGGGGATCTAATTTGTGTGTAAGTCATATCTGTCACTGCAGATTATTTCAGATGCCTTTTGCTTTCTTGAATGTCACTCAATATTCTGGAATGGGTGTCTGTATATTTAATAGTCATGAAAAAGGTGTTCCGTATTGCACATACTGCAGCAACAGTTTTCACTAGGGAAAAGAACAAGCGTGAGAATAACAGGGAGCCTGGGAAGGGGCAGCAGAAGCCAATATATTATTTGGCACAGCCAAAACAAGGTACCTATCCTGAGAGCTGCTATACTGAATTATTCCTTTAGAAGCTAGCAAATGTCAGTGTTCACTTCCTGGCAAATGTTTTATTTCAGTGTTTCAGCTGTATTGGCAGCCAGGGCTCAGGTGTTGGTTCTGAAGACTGCATCAGGGGCTTCCATTCTGAAATCATGCCCTGAAGAATACAAAAACCAGCCTGTGTGATTAATTGTGCATTCATCAACTCAGATGTCATCAACCCTATCCTTTCCCACAGATCTCCAAGTCCTTGTTTCATAATCCTGTGCCTGAAGGGTGGATTGCCCACTGCCTAAGGACCTGAAGGCAGCTGAACTGCTGTCAGAACATGAGTTGTCACAGTGGTATTTCAAGAGAGGAAACCTGAGAGTGTGTGTGCATGTGAGAACAAGTGCAGAAAGGATAACGCAGTCAAATTACTGAATTAAATAAGGAGTGGAAAAAGTAGGTGTTTCTGGCACAAATAAGACTTTAATCGCAACCCAAAAGCTTTTCTTCTCCCTCCTGTGTGGAACACAGGTCTCTGCAGGGAGCTGTCCTTCAGCTGCTTTGCTCCTGTTATTAAAACATGTTGATCCTTTTATTATTTGCTGCTTTGGTTAACTCCATCTTGCCTGTTCCACTACTTTCATTGTGCTATGACAGCTCTTCCTGCTACCTTTTGTCTTCTCCCCAAAATATGACAGCAAAATACCTTTGACAATTTTTACAGCTGACCTCTTTTCCTTAAGTGTCACTGTCACCTCCCCTGGGGATTGGCTCTCCCACCATCCATCTGTCTTGAAAGACTTACTTTTATTGGGAAGATCAGCATGCTCTCCTCAGGGCTAGTCCATGGTTCACTGCTGTATGTGTTTAGGACACTTGGAGACAGAGACGTTTACACTGATGATTATTACTACTTGGGCTCCCCATATTACTCATGCTGATCACAAGCAAAGCCTGTTTTACTCTTGAGATCCATCATGCTAAATGGTAGTGAAATTACTTTTATCAATTAACAATCTTAAATGCTATCCCCTCAGGAGAATCAATATTCAAAATGTGCTGGGATGTGAGCAAACCTCACAGCTCCTTATCCATTCAATGTTTATGTGGTTTGGGTGTCATATTAATGTAATGAGTGTTAATATATTTGAGGAAAATGACTATGGTTAACAAACACAACAATTTCTTGGTGAGAATGTTCAATATTGAACTGCTGTATTCAAGTGATATCTAGGGGCCAGATCCTCAACTAGTGAAGAGTACAGTGAGTTTCTACAAAAGAGATCTCCATGACATACAGAGAGAGGATTTTCTTTTCCTCTGTCAAGTAGATTGGGCTTCATTCTAGGAAGCTCTGAAAGATACTAATTAAAATACTTCACTGTATTACTTTGGCTCTCTGCCCTCCTCAAGGAACTCCCAAAAGCTAATGGCACTTGGGATTTTCAGGAATTTAAAATATCATTGGCATTATGTTCCAAGTGAGAAAGATCATCAACGTTCAGTAGTCCCTACAGCCTTTATGCTCAATTTGAGGCAAAGGTACTGGCCTCATATGGCAACTGCACTTGCAGTTCCTCCCACTATTTTGGCTCTTTTTTAATCTGACTGCAGAGCATATAGCTAGCACTTGCCGTATGTACTCTTAGAATCTCTTTTTCCTGAGACCTGAACTTTGTTCCTGCCTTGTAACTCGGAGGAAGGAAGTAAATATGTGGCCAAGCACTTAAGGGCTGTAACAGCTCTGTCACGATCTGAATTCCAAAAGTCATGAGCCAGATGACCTCTCTGGAGTCCCAGCTCTGTAGGCTAGTGCACTTTGATGTTGGACAAAAACTAAACCCACCATCTGTACCAATCCCCTTAAGTGCAGGGGGGATTTCTCCCATCTGTGTGAAACAGCCTTTGTGTTTTGTCCACTCCATGGTGCTGATTAAGGAAAAAATAAAAATATTTTAATCTTTTTAAGATTAAGTTAAATGATTGAAGGAGGGCTATGGGACATATTTATAAAAATCATGTGAAGGCTTCATCTGTCTGACTTAATGAAAGCAGGAGGTATAGTTGCTTGTAACTATAAAGCACATCACACAGCTGCTAGCAAATAATACGGAATGTAGGGCTACAAATGCTGTCACGGGCAAGAGCCACCTTGTTGCCCTCAAAGGAAAAGGAAGAGGAGGAACTCCTGGGAAAGAAAGCCTGTGGAAGGCCACACAATCTGTACTGATACTATGAACCTTCCTCTCTTTCCCCCCTTATGCTGTGCTTCTTAGATGTGAGCAGTTAAAGAAAGCCCAGGAGAAGTTAATGCTGCTGCTTACAAAAAATAAAAAATAATTAAAAAAAAAAATTCCTACTGGATTTCTCTTTTGAAAGCTGGATAGTCAGCAGGGTTTGACTGAGAGCATATTTGTATTGCCATCAGACCCCTTTAAGAAATAAAGCGCGCTTTTGGGAATCTTAAAGAGAGCAGGAACCCGCAGTGTAGAGAAAACAAAACTCCTTTGGGTCCTCTAAACTTCTACAGAGAAGCTGGAGAAACGCTGAACCTAATTCTGCAGCACTTTCTCTCCTTTAAGTCAAATCTATCAGAGTGCAAGATGGGCAAGAGGAGAAGTTACACAGACTACTGTCCACCTTGTTTAAGAGCGCTGTTATGCTCCCTGTGCACCTCGCACTTTATTCGAAGAAGAGCAGCATAGTCAGGTTGTTGGTCTGTAATGGCTTTTCCCCTACAGATTCAGCATGGCATAGGGTACTGAAATGACACCCTCCAAGCCCATTTAAGTTATCTACTAAGCTGTTCAAGACACTTGTATAAAAATTGCAATATACAAACAACCTTGGCTGAACTCTCTGTTCTCTGGAATAGATAGTACATTCTTTCCAGTCCCTGTGAAATAGTTTTTTATGTTGTAGAAAAAACATCAGTAAAGCAAACAACAGTTACATTATGTCACTTTTTCCTCCAGAGCTGAGCTTTAAATGTCTGCCCAGCAATCTTAAACACATGAGTTATGAGTATGATAAAACATTTCTCTTATTAGGAGCCTAACTCCATTCCTGGAGTAATTGCAATAGCATTGAACTAGGGATGAATTCTCAGTGTGCTTTCATGTATTCCTGACACACAGTCTGAAATTCTGCTTTTCTGTTTCTTGATGGCTTATTGCAAGAAACCCTCTGTATGCTTGGGGATACCACATAAGCATGTATTATTCTTTTCTGTCTTAGTATTTCAATCTATACCATCAAAACCTAAAAGCAGACTCTCTGCCAAAAAAAAAAAAAAAAAAAAAAGAAAAAAAAATCTATTCCCTCAAAACCTAAAAGCAGACTCTCTCCCAAAAAAAAAAAAAAAAAAAAAAGATAAAATAGCTCATAATGAAAAAATGGCATGAGCAAAAGATTTTCTAAACATGTCGCAAAATGACAGGAAAATAAGCGGGTCGGAAGACTGCAGTAATCTGGTGCAGTGACTCAGCCCCAATATGTGTTTCTGTGGTCCAGTTACCAGGAGAAGAATGCTCTGAGCACTGTCATTCCCATAAGATCCACAAGTGAGGTGGCAGCATGAGTCACCTCTGCCGTGCACCATCTGGACTGAGGGGGAGCAGGGCAAGGAAACAGGGAGGAGACCTCCCATTCATCTGTGCCCTGGCAGGTCTCAGAGGCTGTGGAAGATAATGGCAGGCAGGACTTAAGAAAGAAACATTCTGTACTGGACACAGAAGAAGTGTTTTGTTTCAACAGAAATTATTCCGTAACACCTGAATTTATCTGTCTTCTTTTCAGCTGAGGAAGAAAACCAAATTCCCCAATGTAAGACCTAGGTATCAGCTAGAGCCATGGATGAAAAAAAGCAAAGATAGTAAAAGGCAGTAGGAAAATCACCAAACATTCACGTTAATGGTCAGACAAAGAAAAAGACATGGCCAACAAGTTTGTTGAATGCTTAAAATTGATAGTAAGAGCTATTAGTAACAGCTGCATAAGCATCAAATATCTTTTTCATTGATTTCAGGATGAGCAGAGCAGTTCAGGGTGTCTAGAGAGTTGCTGCCTTTGCTGAATGACTTTCAAAGCTAGAAATAGATCTGTGCTCCCTCTTGCATGTCTGTAAGAGGAGGTCTGAGATTCTTTTGTTTTCTCTTATTAAAGTGCTTGAAGGTTAAAAAAATGAATGTAGAGTGGTTTTGTTGATTTCCTTCCCTCCCTTCCAAGAGGGTTTGCAGGCACTTAGGTTATTTTTAGTTCTGTTTTAATATATTCCTGTCCCAGAAGTAAAATGCTTGTAATTGTTAGAGTTTCTGAAGACTTTGATAGTGCCAGTCTAGGAGATGGCCTAAGAATCAGATGTCATGCCAAGTCACAAGTTGACTGAACACCAGCCAAGAGCAGCCAGTAGTGATGGAGAAATTTGGGTGACTGAAGTAAAGAGCTGTGTAGAAATAAAAGAGAGTTGCTACAAACAGAGATGGTAATGTGTTGTCAAGCTGCAGATTCATTAAAATAAGGACTGAGGTGAGGAGGAGGGACATCAGT